ATTACTATACTCAGTATATCCTTCCCAAATATGAGTGAAGGATGAGTATAGAATGTTGTGAGATGATCTGTAGCTTTGTAACTAAGATCAGCTGTTTCATCAACCAAAGCCCAATGATCAGGGACAGCTGGATCCCGTTTAGAACCATCAAAAAGCTACTTTTCTCAGAATCGGCAACCATTTAATTGGTAGGCGAGCACTATAGCCCTTCAGCTACTTAACAAGTAATTGTTTTATCAAATCACAAATTGTAAATAAAAACTTTATTCAACATTGCATTAAGTAAATCTTTTAATGTCATAAAATATGTTTGAAGCACAGGTTAACTACTAAATTACTATCATTGTTATGCAATGAAGCGTGATTTGGGTGATTTGGCTGTGACCATCGTTGATTTACAGCAGCAATATCACAATCAACTTTTATTTGACTAAAAAATTGAAACTTTATTAGAAGTATTCCATTTTTCATCAAATGATAATAACTGTTTAATAAGTTTGTATTAGAACTGGAGGAGTTCCCATTCGGAAAAATAAACTGAGCTGTAATAAAAGTCAAAGATACAAACTTGCACAAGATATGTGAAATACGAGTAAGAACAATATTGACGGGCATGGGTGAACATACTAGTCTGGTTAGTTAAACACACTAGCGTTCGTTTTTAATTGGGACACATGAAGTTTTTTTGGAAACATACGAAGTTTTCAATTTTATGGTTTTGACCCCAACGACTTTTTATAGCACATTGCCACATTGTGGTTTTCTTAAAAAGTAAAATAAGTAACAGTCATTATAAATAAATTTTTAAACCGACAAAAAAGAAGGTTAAGTTACCAATGTTTTTGTTAGGAAGCGGTTGTTTCCCAAAGCCGACTTAAATCCTAAATCCGTAGGCTTTATATACCAGACAGACTCTGTTTCTTGAGGGGAAAAACAAATTTCCAAACATTGTTTTGTAGGCTAATTCAAAAGCCTAAATCGCTTATTCAAAACTTAACTTAAAAGTTTAATGTTTTGTAATTATATTTACAAATTTGCAATATTGACTTGCATTTCCACCCAAAAGAATGGGTTATTTGTTCTAGATTGTGACAGTTCAAACTGAATCAATTACAGGGCCTGCGAGAGCGATCCCGGGCCTCTATTTTCCTGATTTAGCCACCTCCGTGCCGTTTTGTTACACAAATAACAATACATATCTAAACTGCTTGATAGTTTGATTAATTCTCAATCTAATAAATTAATTAATTAATTATCTTGAATTAAACCACTCAGTCAACAATTACTTAGTGAACTGAAAAACCATATTAAAATGTTCGTCTTTTTAAAAAAAACAGAATGAAATGAAAAATGAAAAACCCTTTATTTTGTCAGGCTAAGTTAGGGCCACATGGCCCTTCCTTACACTTAACCTCTGTCATTCATAAATATATAGAAATAATAATACAATGGGATTACAATTAAAAATAAACATATAAAACAATTTAAGTACATTTCTAAAAAAAAATTTAAAAAACATGCAAATTTAACAAAAAGCCTTTAGCAGATTACATGTACAGAAAATATTTTACATTTGACTGGGCCCTTAAGATTATAATTTAGTTTGAATCGCCATCCAAGCTAAGGATATCTCTTTTATTGTTCAAAAATATTCCAGATCGAATGTTGTCTTTTGTCAAATCTCGTTTAACTGTCAAAACTGACATGTTTCATCAATACCAACTTCAAAACAGCTTTGAAGTATATTGCGATACTTTTGAAACGGGAGATCAACTGCAGAATAGTAATAGCTTAGTTTTCTGTCAAATACAGGAAAGACGTTTTATTGTTTATGTCAACGTGCCTTGTATTGATGATCAGATCAATTGATTCCTTTTGTTTGAAAAACTAAATTTAAAAACATTAAATAAATTCTGGCATTGGGGCGTAGTTATTTAAAAATCCATTCTTTAAACATTTGGTCTAAATAGATTGACGTACAATCTCCAATACAGTTAACTAATAAGTTCAGTTTGCGATTAAAAATTTAAATGGAAAACTGTTTATACTGTTTTACAAATAAAATATCTTTGTTCCTGTCCTACCTAAGGGAATCAAGTAGTCAATTAAAACTTAATATAATTCAGGACAGCAAACATTATATTAGTATATCATTTGCCTTTTTAACAATGTTTACTAAAGAGCAATTTAGAGGAAGTCAGACAAAACTTCTGCGATAGAGCATAAAAAAATAAGATTTTAAAATACAACATAAATGCATCTATAAATGTTTAAACTTTAAAAGAATTATGTTCACAGCAATTCAGTCATTGAATAACTTTTCAATACAAATGTTGTTTCCATCAAAACAAACTTGACAAATCTTTGCAAAACAGCTTGCCTCAGTTTGAATTAGGGAAGGAAACTTTTTCAATACGAGTGAAAGTGTACAGTGGCCAAACAAGTTAACAAGTTGTTGTCGGAATTGAGCTTACTTAAACCTTCCAGCCAGATCCAGCTGCGACCCAGGGACTGTCACTTTCCTAAATCTTACTGGACTTTTTAATTTGGAATCTAACACTTGCAACAAAGTTACCATTTATTTATTGAATCAAAATGTCATGAAGACTTTTATTTAACATAGTGGGTTCTGGGTCGATTACTTCATAGTATCCACCAATCAAATCTATATATATAATACGTGAAGCCGTTTTTTGTTAACGCAACTCCTCCCTTATTTGTGGACCGATTTCAACGTTTGAGGTGTCAAAAGATTCGTCTCAATATGTAGTTTTGCAATAAGGTTTTAGAACTTTAAAATTCCTGCTCTTAAGGGCGATAGACCCTCTCAAAGGTCAGGTTTTCCCCATAAGAAATACATAGAACAAATTTAAAAACAAAAAACTTTGTTGGAAGAACAGAAAATGCCTCAAGTTCAAAGAAGAAATATTGAACACGGGAGGAGGACACAATTAATTAAATAATAAGATATCTTGTGCGTATGAGGAGAGTAGAAAAAGAGAGGCCTGATCTAACACTACCCATCCAGATACACATTCACTTGGTAAGATGAATAAAAATTGCCAGTTCTGCTATGCAAATTTGGAAGTGGAAAAATATACGAAGCTCATAGTGTTGTCACGGTGGTAAAGTAAACTTGCCTAATGTAAGATCAAATGAATGTATGCAAGAAATGTTTACTTCAGACAGAATTTGTATTACACGCTCTTCTTTAATTGAGAAAAAACGTAAATTATGGATCGTTTACTACTAACTTAAGTTAACTTATGTTATGTTACCAGTTCTTTGGACAAACTTATACAACGTTTTTTGACTGAATTCACCAACACAGTCCAGACATTTCAAGTAAAAAATAAGAAGTTTCAAAAACTCATTTGCTTTTGAAAGTTTTAGTGGCAATATTAGACCATAAGTTACATAAGTGAAGGAATTAGTGTTTATGTATCGAACGATCGAGTAGTTACGGTGAAGTTTATATTTATGATTCAGGAGAGGCAAATAATATATGCTGTTCAAAAAGAGAAAATTAAAATTGCTATCCAAATATTATAGCTACAAGAGTTATCCAACATATTTCGACAAATGTATACATACTTTCAAAACTTACTAAGAGAATGTATACATACTTTCTCTTAATAGGACAGGTATTAAGAGAAACTGCACTGAACAACGTGAGAACGTTCTGATGCAGGGCATATACCGTGACTGACAGAAAACACGTTAAAATACGTTCTCTAACTTTCAATGGTGTTGCTGCCTTAGCCTATTCAAAGCAGATTATAGCTGTCCAGTTGGTAACCCAGAGTTTGTGGGTAAAAAATGGAGCACATGAAATGGTTGATATCACCCAACTTTTCAGGTTACTCTACGGAGAAAATTCATTTGATCAGGGGGATGTCTCAAATCAAAGAAATAAAATGACCCAACTTAAATTACTTAAGACAGGTTATCAGTAAGGTAACAGTGTTCTTCAATATCCACCAGTATCCACCAATCAAATAATACTTTAATAGTTTAAATTATCCTTACAATTAAATTGATTAAAAGTAAACATAGTCTCTGAAGTGACTAATTTTATTCCGTCTGTCTAATAATGGATGGTAATTTCAAGAGGAAAATTAAAATTAAGATATAACCTAAAAATGTGTTTAAATATCTATCTATCGATCTATATATTAATAGGCAAGCATGTTTCTTCAAAACCTTTTTTCTCAGCTTGTGTGCATCGCAGGTGAAATGTACGCATGCTGTTAGAAAGATATTTTCCGTAGATGTGCAGAATCCCTTTAAAAATTAAAATAGGCTCAAAAATAAGCACAAAAAATTTATTTGAAATTTTAAAAAAATTTACTTGGGCTTTATGGGTTGCCATGCTGGTAACGAAATAACAACGAAATATAAACAGAAAATCAAAACAAAATGTAAGAAATAGAAATGTAAGAAAATAAAGAAGTCTGTACATTCAATATTTTTGGTCAAGTTTTCGACAACTGGCCGACCTCTAGTAATTATTAATCTTCAATTGACTGTAGTAGTAAAAGTAGTTAATAATTAGTGATTAGTGTACAAGTCTCGTTTTATTTAATCTAAAATAACATAATAAAAACCCAAATTTACCAACAACTAATTGATTATGCACTCAAATTCAAAATAAAATTAATGATAATGTACAAAAAAACTTACAATGTTCTAAAATTATAAAAAGTTGTTATATGAAAGTTTTTAGTTAAAATATTGTCAAAGATACAAACCACCGCTTAACACCAGCTGATTTATAAAAAAAAATTCTGCCCTCGTCTTTGCCTTGCCTGCAAACCACTATCTTGCTGGTATTATCTTGGTTTTTAAGTAGTTCATTTGAACTACTTATGAGACTAGTAGTGAAATAGCCTAGGCCTATACATGGTGAAATTTATATATCCAACAGAGGTTAGATAATTAGTGTTTCATGTGAAACATGCCGTTTCTTGTTAAACATGCTAAACTGAAAGGGCTGTTTGTGAATTTTAACTACTTTTAGGCTACACCAACTATAAGAGTACCGGTGAAAAAAATATTAAGATCAAAAATAATAAATATAAAACTAGTTTAGTACTTTAATACAACAAAGCATTAGGGAAAATTCGCTACAGTTCAAGATTGAGAGGTCGTCCATTTTATTCAAAGTCAATACACAAATTGTCTAGGCCTAAATCAAAACTTAAATAATAAAATCAAGTTTTAACAACACAACTACTGTAAAAATCATTAAGTACATAGTACTCAGCTTTTAGTGTCTTTCACAAAATCACAATCTCTCGGTAGAGCCACTATGACACCTCCATGGGATCACCATCTGATTTCATATTGAGAATGTCCATGTCCTCGTCATCAAAGACATCGAGGCTATCATTTGCTCCACTGGCGTCTAGCAGAGCCTCGAGTTGGTGGATAGAAGCAATCAACACATGGAACTGTTTCCGCCTAAGTTCCATCTGTTCGTTAAGTTTCTCGCTTTTCTCCTGTAAAACATATTCTGGAGTTAATATAACACTAAATATATTGTGTAATTATTAGTAATATCTTGGAATTGAAGCTCAATCTTGGAATATACAGAGTCTCACTGGCCATCAAATCAAATCAAATAAAATCAAAATATCATTTATTTCGCAAAAAACAGACATAACATAATATTATGATCACTGTACAAAAGTATTTACAATATTATTTGTTTTCCTAGGTTATATTTAATTTTCTATAAAAGCTTTTTAAATCAAGCGAAATTATCCCCCACAAAGGATAATTTAATTCTGTGAGTGGGAGAGAGTCGTTATATTATTAGAGATTTTTTTGAATTATGAAAAAAAGGAAATTAGAACACGTTAAAAGTTGAAAGTTTTAAGTTGCGCTGGAGGACTGAGCGAATGGTGCCCCCCACCCCCCCCCCCTACCCTACCCCCAAAAGATAACCTGCTACTGTACTTCCCAAGCACACCCAAGCTGACCCGAACCCACACACGCGCGCACACACCCACACACACACACATACACACTGCTGCACTCACTCCGACACCAACAGGCGGCTGGTAGCCCTAGGGCCGTCAATGCTCTGTCCCTGTGGCGCAGAATCGGGAACAGCTCACATACGTGCTTGCATACAATCGTTCTTTCACTCTATCAGCTGATGTGAGTGTAAATTTGTTGCCTGTAGGTTGATCATTGTCTGTAGGTTGAGATCAGTAAATTTTGAGCAGTTGATCTCCCAATGCTTTGTAGCCATAGGGTAATTTGTTTTTTGTATTTGACCAGTGGTTCAAAATAGTTTTCGCGTAAGTTGTAGGGCAGATTGTTGTAGATAGTGTGAGCAACATAGTAGCAATTTGTTGTAGAGTAGGTTCTATTTAGTCTCGGTAAATAAATTCCTCCACCTAGTGCATGTCTGGTTCTGTATTCGTGTGTTACTCTTTCAAAAATGTCATTCGAGTGTTTAAATATGTAAATAGTCATGGTTCGAATAAACAATTGTCTGATGTCGAGAACGTTCATTTCATTGAAGAGAGCATCCGAAGGGTAGCGCCGACTCCTGCCTAAGGCTGCTTTTATTATCGCTTTTTGGGTGATAATTAATGGCTTTAAAATATAACCATATGCACAGCCCCAGGCTATTATTCCTCCGTCAAGTAGGGACTGCACGTAAGCAAAATATGCAATTCTGATTTCTTCAAACTCCAAAATCTGCTGTAACTGGTTAAAAGCATAGATATATTTTCTTAGTTTATTATTTAGATATGATACGTGGTCTGCCCATGAAAGTTTAGAATCAATCATTATGCCAAGGTATTTATATTTTTTCACTCTATCTATCACTGGACAGTCACAATCCGAATCAAAGTTAGCACAAGAATGAATTTTCAACTCATTGATGAGTGTATCACCACGATTACTAAAAGCGATTGGCATGAATTTAGTTTTATCTACATTGAGTGTCAAAACATTTTGATCAAACCATTTTTTAATTTTTGAAATACCTCTTTCTGCGAGGTTGAGAACTGTCTCCCAGTCTTTACCTTCAAATAATACTAGAGTGTCATCTGCGAAGAGATAAAACTTCCCTTCAATGTCTATTTTAACTAGATTATTTATATATATTAGAAATAATAAAGGACCAAGGGTACTTCCTTGAACTACGCCATAGTCTACTTCAGCTAAATTGCTCTGAACTCCATTTATGACTACAAATTGTTTTCTATCTGAAAAATATGATTTAAACCATGCCAATGAAATGTTTTTTATTCCAATTAACTCCATTTTCTTTAATAGTATTGATCTGTCGACAGAGTCGAAGGCTTTAGCTTAGTGATGTAAAATACCCGGGTGTTTAAAACTCGGGGTAAATACCCTGGGTATTTACCCGGGTAAATACCCAAAATCCATAAATACCCGGGTATTTAGGGTATTTATGAAATCGATTGAAATTCATTTATATCTACCCCTAAATATGTTATAGTTATCATTACATGATAAATTAGGATAGTCTTTAACACCTTTTACAGTAACTTGAAGCTTTGCTAGTACCTTTTAATGATTTAGCACTTTTTTTTTAATCGGGTTTCGTGTCTTAAATCGAGTAACATCAGTTAAATTTAACTTACTAAAAAATAGTATATTAAAAAAGGCTTTCAATTTTTATCATTTTATATATTTATAACCAATTAAATAACATAAACAAAATTATTTGAATTTATAAATATACAGGAATTGTTGAAAGATTTATTGTGCTATAGATTCAAATGTTTTGTATCACAAGTTTATGAAATTAGTTTTTTTTATTTTGACACCATTGATACCAACAAAATATCTAGAACAAAATGAAAAAATAGAAAATATTATTAAATCCTGCCATCCTACAGATTGAATTTTAATTATTTTCTCAAGTTGTTTACACATAGCCACTACAAGGTTAAATTTTCCTTTTTTCTAAATAATAATTATTACTTTACAAATTCTTTTTCTTCACTTTCAATAAAATGAATTCATCTATCTATCATAGAAATTAAAAAATCATAAGTAGTCAGGACCAGTGCAACCATGCGACCAGGATATTTATGCCGATTAAGCTTCATGCTCAGACCTGGGTATTTATGACGATTATACCCAGAAGTAAAATGCTAGTAGTGACCATATGAAATTTTGTTTGACACATTTTATCATCATTTTACTATCCTTACAGGATAATAATTGCAAAAAAACATCTCAATCTTCTCTAACTTTAATACAAATTATAAATACCCAGTTTTTGGGTATCTACCCGGGCCTGGGGTAAATACCCAGGTAAATACCCAATTTATATTTACCTACCCACTGGGTATTTACCCGGCCCACATCACTAAGCTAAATCAAAAAATACCAGCACGACCTTGTTTCCTTTATTGACAGCTAAATTAATATCTTTGTTAACTTCAAACAAGGCGTCAGAGATATTCTTCGATTTCCTAAATCCAAATTGACGTGAAGTTAAAATGTTATAATGATTAAGGTAATTAGTTAACTGGTCTTTAATTATCTTTTCCAAAACCTTGGTAAATACACTCAGCAATGAGATCGGCCTAAAGTTCGAAGTCTTAGAGCAGTCTCCTGACTTGAATAGAGGAACAACCTTAGCGATTTTGTAGGCGTCGGGGTAAACTCCCCTCCGAATACTCATGTTAGTGATGTGTAAAAGTGGCTGTTTTATTGATTCCCAGTTGTCCTTGAGTAAATCAGCTGATACACAATCATACCCTGGAGCTGAGCCTCCTCTCAGTCTGGTGACGTAGCCGTACAGTTCATGTTCAGTAACAGTGTGCAGTGTGAGGACGGAGTCAACAGCATAGTCAGAATCGTGTGGACCACTCGAATCAATTCTAGCTGCCATGTTTGAACCAACTTGGGTAAAATAGACGTTGAATTCGTTGGCCACCAGTGGTCTTAAATCGTCGTCAGTGTTTGCGTATGGTTTGTTTAATGTGAATTGAGAAAGTGGGAAAATGTCGTGTTTAGTGCTTCTACCCGCCAATTCATTTAAAACCCCCCAAAACTTTTTCGGATTATCTTTATACCCCAAAATCTTTTCCCTATAATATTTATTTTTGGTTTCCCTAATATTTTTATTTAGTTCATTTTTTAATCTTTTGAAATTATCAATCAAAACTGTATTAATAGTCCACTGTCAAATGTACACCCGTGTCCTCCTTGATGAGGCAGGTGTGGGAGTAGTCTTAATCTCTTCGTTTGACCTTGGAGAAATACAATTTCGATGGTGGCACTCTTGAAAATGGTGCGTTTGAACGCTGAGGGTAAAAAACAAAATGGCCACCATTTATATTTTTAAAGTCAAATTCCATGAAAACCAGCTATTAAAACAAAATTTTGCAACACATTATTTAAAGTCCTTTTTATTACAAATAGAATGACACTTTATTTGCGAAAATCGGATAATAAATAAAAAAGTTATGTTACTTTTATTACTAATAGTAATTATCAAAATGGCAGTCATTTTGAAATCACAAATTTAAATTCCATAGAAACTAGTGACAAAAACATAATAAAAGTTACATAACTTTTTTATTTATTATCCGAGTTTCGCAAATAAAGTGTCGTTCGATTTGTAATAAAAAGGACTTTACATACTGCGTTTCAAAGTTTTGTTTTAATTGCTGGTTTTCATGAAATTTGACTTTAAAAAACTTTAATGGCCGCCATTTTGAAATTCGATGAGCCTGATCAAAGATTTTTTCGGAGAATGTTTATAGTTGTAGACTTAAAGTTTATACCAAGTTTCATAAAAATATCTCCAAGAGCTTATGAGTTATGAACTATTTTCAAAAAATACAAAATGGTGGATTACGGCTAAACTAAGCCGAAATCGAAAAAATGTTATACAACATTTTCGACTTATTTTTGAACATAGAATCTAAATCTGCATAGCCCGTTACGCTTTACAGAAACACCCTTTATTACTTTTTGAAATATTTAACTGTCCTGGGACATTACATCCACCCTAATTAATTTATTTATGAAAAATATAAAATTATGTTTTATGAAAGAATGGTGTATCCTACATAAAAACATTAACAATCTTTTTTGTGCAGATTTGAAATAGCTACATTTTGGTATCAACAATTCTTTCATAACTCTAACGGTTACTGATATAAGTAAGAAAAGTAGTTTGCGACGGCGGCCATTTTGTTTTTTACCCACAGCGTTCAAACGCACCATTTTCAAGAGTGCCACCATCGAAATTGTATTTCTCCAAGATCAACCGAAGAGATTAAGACTACTCCCACACCTGCCTCATTCAGGAGCACACGGGAGCCTGTATATGTACATTTGACAGGGGACTATAAAAGGTTGTTTTTTAATCTGTTTACTAAGTTTATCTCTTTCTCTAATTTTAATAACCAGGTCATGTGTGATCCATGGCTTTAATTTCCTGAGTTTAGAGTTTGGTTTTTTTAAAGTTTTTGTTGACATGCTAACAAGATCTTGAATTTTTGAAATCATGATATTTGAACATGTATTTGTGTCATTTGCCTGTACAATGTCTGTCCAGTCGCATTCTTTTATATGTGTACTCAGTTCCGTTTTGTCTATGTAGGTGTGAAGTTCCTGTAATGTATGTTCTGTTTTGTTGGAGAAGTTAATCTGTAGACAAACACTGTAATGGTCAGTTATCTCAGTCCTCGCAACAGCAGTTCGTAGTGCAGTAAAGTCGTGGTGACTTATAAAAATATGGTCAATGGATGTCTTACTATCGCCTACCTCTCTAGTCGGTACATTTATACCATTCATAAAACCATATTCATACAAGACATCCAAATAACGCTCTGTCTTGTTGTCAGTTTCCAGCAGATTCGCATTGATGTCACCTATTAAAAAATAGGTTTTTTGACTGTTTTTGTTTTCGTAGTATTTTTCGAGAGCGTAAGTAAAATTGTCCAAGTCACTGTCGTGAGTCCTGTACACAGATAGCAGATTACACCGCTTATCTTGATAAACAAAGTCTAAAGTCAACCCGTACACGTCGCCCAGCTCCAGTTCATTACATTCACACACATTCACTCTCTCACTCACATACATCAAAACCCCATCATTTTGATTTTTCCCTTTAGTAGTGCGAAACAGTTTATACCCCTCTAAATGCATCCCCTCCCCAACACCCCCATACCACGTTTCCCCCAGCGCAATAATATCAAACTTTAAAACTACCGATTGAAGCAAGATAAGAAGTAACTCAAAGTTTTTATTGTAACTTCGAATATTCATGAAGAAAATGTTTAAAAAGCTTTTACCTTTGCTAAAAGCTAACCCTATGTCATTTAAGTATTCTATTGTTGTACACTCAATTTGCCTGTAGCTGTCGCTAAAGACATTAATATCCTCCATGAAGTAAAAGTAAAATAGTTGTATACGAATTTAAGGTAAAAAAAGTATAAGATTGATTATTTTTCGAGAAAAACAAAACAAACAAAAACAACCCACTGTGCGGATCCTGCAGCCGCTACAATAACAAATTCTGTACTAAAGATGAATCATAATGAGAACTAAAACAATAATATTTCCCTCATTGCGAATCATAAAAAATCAATAACACTTGTGATTTTACATAGGCCTACAGATAATAAGAATGAGCAATAATTAAAATAATTCTACACATAAATCTTGTAATGTAACTAGAGTGGTTTTCAACACCCATTGTTTCTTCATAAAATATTTTATAGATTGCAAATTCTTATGTAGATATAACTGAGAAAACCTTGTCATTTGTACCAGAAGGTGTGTTAAAATAAAAAAGTTTCATAAAAATTTGTTACTCTTATACGAAACGGTTAATACATCTTTGTTATAATAAATGAAATATAAATAATTTTACTGATTAAATGTGATGAGGAAAATGTAATTACTTTTGCAAAATTAATAGGACTTATAAACTAACAACATTATAATAATTGAAAAACTAATGTGTTTCACTTCAATTATGGGTAACCAACACAATAAAGTACATTTTCACAAAAAATAATGCAAAAAATAAATGCATCGCTTTTTAAATATTCCGGTTCTGTAGTAGTTTCAAGAAATAATTTGAATACCAGATTTGATGGGCTATAGAGAAACGGATCTCATATTTAAAATTTGTATATTTTATTTATTTGTTTACATGTCAAACATAATAATGATGTCCAATATGTTGAATCTTAATGCTAGACATTTTTTTCCGATCCATTAATGCAGTGAATCTTGATTTTTTTTGTGGTGACCAACATCTTGAATATTTTTTGCAGCCCACCTCTTAAATAATTTTAATAATTAATATCTGTTAGGTACCACTACTGTATTTAGTTTTTAATAAAATGTTATTGTTACTATTATTAGGCCTATTGTTATTGTTATTTATTATTGTTATTGGTAACAATAAAAAGATATTAATGCAAACAAACTTTGCTAACATCCTAACATCTATCGATATTAAATATTGATAGCAAAGGAAGGATACCAGTGTACAGTATGATATGTCGTACTCGTAGTCAGTAGCAACTAGCAAGATTCATCCATCCCGGTCACAAGCTCTTAGAGTTGGTTCCTTTAAAGTTAGTTGTGCTGCATTTTTCTAGTATTTGTTAATTGTTTATGCCAATAAGTGTTTGTGCACAAGACCTAAAGCAACACAAATTAGCATTTCGCCATAGCCTACTCAGTTGGCCCTCGTACTCAATAAAAGAAAAGAAATGTTTGACAAGCCACTCACCTTTCCACAAAACCGAGTCAGATCTATCAATGGAGCTTAAATTGTACGTATATGGGCCATTCTTCAGAAAAGGACAGATTACGGTCACCAAGGAGTAATAAATAAAAATTAAGATAATAAATACACAATTTGTTGTTAAATATGTAGGTAAACATTTTTTTTATACTTAATGCAAAGAAGAAAAAAATCTAAGTGAAATTTAATGAACATTTTATGTCCACAGAAGGTGACATATCACTTCTGTGGACAGTCACCCCCTCTAGGTTTAGCTTAAGATTAGCTGATTTTACTAACAAATTTGAAATAAAAATTATTAAACCCAATTGCTGTTGGCTATCTAGACATTGAATATTAATAATTTGTTGTTTATTTTACTTTTCCTATTCTATTAAAGGTAAAAAAAAACAAAGAAACTCTGTCACCAAAGTCTGCATCACATCTGTGGACAGGCATAAATAGTTCAAAAAAAATCCACCAGGCAGCACTGGCCAACTTTTACAACTATTTTTTTACAGAGAAGAAGTAACCATCTTGAACATAGAATCAGTTTGGTTTTGTTCTGTTCAGTCATTAGTTGTGAGACTGTATGTGAAACTAGAGTTTTAATTGATCGTCGAGCTAACATAGTCACTTTCTGTTACCACATTTTAAAGGTAATTATGCATGTCAATTAAACCTAAGACACTAATTTACAGTAGTTTATGTGTTTCTCTACAAAAATAAGAGCAAATATTGTTCCTAACCTATTTGCTAGACTCTATGTTAGGCATAAAATGCTAAATCATCACTTCTGTGGACACGAGCAGTTACCCGGCGCGCGTTGCTGCGCTTAACAACTATTATTTTAAAATGACAATTAAACCTAATACACTAAATTACAGTAGTTTATGTGATTCTCTAGAGCAAACATTGTTCCTAACCTATTTTCTAGACTCTAGAAATAAAATGCTAAATCATCACTTCTGTGGACATCACTTCTGTGGACACCTAGCAGTTACCCGGCGCGCGTTGCTGCCCTTAACAACTACAGTATTATTTTAAATGGCCATTAATCCTAATACACTAATTTACAGTAGTTTATGTGTTTCTCTACAAAAATAAGAGCAAACATTGTTCCTAACCTATTTGCTAGAATCTATGTTTCTTTTTTAGGTTTATTTGTAAAATTTGCAGTTGTGATAGTCACTTCCGTGGACATGCTAGTTTTTAAATACTAAAAATTTGGTAAAGTTATTTTTATTTAGTGTGACCATTGCAATGGGTAAATATAAAAAAGGGTCATACATTAAAATATCTAAAAAAAATAAAAAAAAATTAAAAAAAAAATTTAAATTTGTCCTTTTCTGAAGAATGGCCCACATATGTTTGTAGTTTATTTTTGTATATATTTTTGTCTTTACACAATTCATGCAATCCTTTGGTCAACAATGAAGATAACAAGTATTACAAGAATGGCTAAGTATTGCCTAATATTGTTTATAGCTAATGACATTTAAGAAACTCACCTCAAGAGAATTAAGTTCCTTTTTCAGTTGAGACAATTTCTCATCGGTCTGTTTTCTGTCGGGCTGTTCGTTTATAACATTCGCAAGGACTTCATACTCTGCTCTGTTCTTACGAATTATCTTGGCCTTTTTGAATTCCAACTTCTTTTCTCCTATCTCTTGTTTTGCTCTTTCAATATCGTCACTTATCTGTTGTAATAGGTTCTCGTAGTTCTGCAGTTCTGCTGAGCTGGTTGTTGCCATAATCCGAGACTTTGTGAAAGTATATTCGCTTTGGGTAAGTTGTGAGAGGATCCTGTCCAGAGTGCTTTGACTGAAATGGAAATATTTGCATCATTCACAAGAAAGAAAAGTATAAACATTTATGAGTGAGTAAATTAAAACTAATCAGTGGCTTTACAGCTAGTATTTATAAAGTAGCAAAATAGAGCAAAATATTAAGTAATCGCCAAACTAAACTATTGAATTAGGCCTAAAATGGGATTTACAAAAAACTTCAATTCCTTAACTGAAATTTAATAGTGATGGATGGAATGTTTAGGAGATAAAGATAAGACATTCTTTTACAGACAAAGCATTTACTTGTTGGTAAGCCTGCTCTCTCACACATACATAATGTATCAGATTTAAGCCTAAAAATCTACATATTATTTTAAAATATTGGTTTTTAATTTCCGTGTCTGTTTGGCTCTACGCAACCGATTTTCATAATTTTGGCCTTGTAGGGTGATTACTGGAAAACTCATGTTTTTGACTTGAGTAGTATACAAGGAATATCGTTCGACGACGGACGGAAGTTGTTGCGCTGTGGAGGGGGAAGTGTGCAGTTTAAATTGTTGCCGAGATGTAGAACCTTGAGCATCGTAAATTTGTCATGCGAAGATATAACGCAAATTGTGAATCAGTCACTGACTCAGAGAGACTTTCGTGCACATTTTATCATTGCACGGCATGGTGCTATCCCTGATCGTAACACGATATTACGTTGGATACATAACGTTAACACAACTCTATCTTTGCTTAAAAAGAAACCTCCTGAACCGGCAAGGACAGTTAGTACCCCTGAGACAGTTCAGAGTCCTAGCCGCCCAATTCGGAAGCAGGCATCTGCTCTCGGACTTCATCCCACTATGAGAATGATTTTTGTCAAAGATCTTAAATTACATCCTTTCAGGCTGGCAGTATTTCATCAATTTTGAGTCAAGCATATAAGAGGCAACGTGTAAATTTTTGTAAAACAATCAGTGAAATTTTAGACAAAAATAACGAAGCAGTTAACCTTATGAGTGATGAAGCGCATTTCCACTTGGACGGAGCATTCAACAAACAGAATTTACGATTTTGATATGCAGAAAACCCTCAAAACGTAGCTGAGATACCTCTTCATAGCTTACATGTGACTGTGTGGTGTGCGGTTAGTGAAAATAGGATCTTTGTCCTTATTTTTTTAAGGTTCCAACAAGATGGGGCAACAGCTCATACAGCATAAGTTTGGAATTCCTTTGGCAAACATTCCCTACAAGAGTTATCTCACTTTTTGGTGATGTCACTTGGCCTTCTTGCTCACCGGATCTACAATTCCAGATTTCTTTATATTGGGATTTTTGAAATCTAGAGTTTACATAAAAAAACCACAAACAATACAGGAACTTAAAGAAGTTAGCTACTTAAGGAAATCAACACCATTCCTAGTGATGTGTTAGCAAAATCAGTAGCAAGTTTTAAGGAACGCCTTCAACACTGTATCCAAGCAGAAGGCACATTTTAATAAGGTCACTTAAGAGATGTAATTTTTAAACTCTAAATTGTAAATAATGTTATTCTGAAAATTGCATATTGTGTACACTGTTTTCCACTCATAAATATATTTTTTGCTCTGAATTGCCTGAGTATTCATTATTTGAAAAACATGCGTTTCTTGGTAAATCACCTTGTATTAATGGTATGCACCCTCAGATTTGCTATCAATCTTTATTACTCAACCAAAAAACATAAATATGATTTTTTGTTCAAATTCTTACTTTAATTGAAGATGCATTTCACCAGTTCTAATTACATTATCCTATATGTTTTTGTCTAAAAACCATCAGTGAAATGCCAGCTTTCATTTGAGCTAGGCATATTGATTATTGAGATCAGACGTACCTGAACCTTGATTCAACAATAATTTAATTATTTAAGCAATCAATGATACATAACTCCATTTTTATTTCAGTTATTTTAAATAGCTTAAAATGTTCCTAGAAATAAAGGCTTTCATTTGAGATATTAATCGAATCAGTTAAGTTGATACTGTATAACTCGATCAAAAAATATAAATTTGATTATTTCTCGGTTACTTATGGAACTTAATTTGAGATATATTACTCAATTCTAATTATGTTATCCTATACGTTTTGATCTAAGAACCTTCAGTGAAATACCTGCTTTCATGTGAGTTATTGATTATTAAGAGTTGTTCAACGTGTTTCACCTAGTTTATATTAATATAAAAACTACCTTAGTTTTTAATCAGCAATCAATCCAATGTGACTTTAGTCAAAACAATGTGACTTTAGTTAGAACAGAACAACTATCTTTATTATTTAAAAACCCAAACTGGTAGAGCTGACAAACTGGCACCAAATGAAACGGCAAAACCTTGGATTTAATTCCATCTTTAGATTTAATAGGTCCTATATTAAGATTCTGAAAACTTTGTCTAATAATTTGGAGAGAATGAGCTTCAAAAGTTTACCTATCGATGGGTGATTCATGAGTAGTACAACACCATTTGATAAAAGTCTTCAGAAGCATGTTGAGTCTTCGATCGTCACCAGTTCCATCTCCATCGATAAGAAGACGTCGCCTAATGACATCCTCTAAAAACACAAGTCTTTATTAGAGCCAGTTGTAGACACTTTAAATGAGTTAACTTACAATTAAATTAATAGCTACGGTAGCCAGACCATGAAAAATAATAGTGAAATATAGTTATATTCAGTGCTCGATTTGTAAAAAATGAGGTGTCGGAACTGTAACCTATTTAATGTTATCTGTACCTATTTATGCCAATTTTTTTAACTCCCTGAAAGAGAGGTACCGGAACTCCGTTATGCCGCGTTCCCCCGCAAATCAAGCATTGGTTGAAATGTTAGGGGTTGTCCATATATTATGTATTGCTTGAGGAGGGGGGGAGGGGTTTGGCTTACCATTTCGAGGAGGAGGTAGGGGGTTTTCAAGATCGTTACAGTAACGCACTTAAAATCTATTTTTTCCCTAAGTGCCAAAATAATAAAGTTATTTTATAAACAGTCTTTAAGGAAAAAATAGGCCTATTAATATTATCAGTTAGGCCCTAACACGATTTCTTATTGTTTATTATTGGTCTTGAACTGATATTCAATAAGTTCTAGTTCCAAAACTTCTAACCAACTCCTAGCTCTGATCTTTCATTCATAGAAGACATAAAAAATGGATTCTGTCACCATAGGTTCATAGGGAATACGATCGCAATAAGATATATCCGAATTTTGTACTGTCAATTTACCGTTATGTAAATTTATTTATTTTATTATTGTTCAGAAGTGCTGCAGTAAAAAAGACATAAGTTTAGAAGTGATTTAAAAGTTTAGTATCCAAATTGCTGGCGTTTAGATATCTTGTACCTATAAATAATCTGCAAAGTTTGTTATAAATTGTTTTTATTCGTAACATTATTAGTACTTCAAAACCATTTTAAAAACTTGTTTAGTCTTAAGCAGAAAATATAACATAGATTTTATATCCAACAACCTTGTTAAAGATAATATCTGACAGTGTTACGTTACAGGGGAAAGGGGGTCTAATTCTAAGGTTTGCAGTAGTGACTATGAGGCGCGCGGACGCAGCACACTGACCGTCTCTAAGGGAGACGTCGTGGCCCTTATCAGCGGACTTAACTTAACTTGCTTTATGCAGTGTCACTGGGGGGGGGGGGGGAATTATACATGTGAGAGTTAACAAAATTTAGATTAATAGGCCTAATGAGCTTAATAGCCTACCTACAAAAAATCAGCAAAACTGATTTAAGCTATGTTCCCAACAAAATAGGCTAAGTTACAAGTTAAAAAGGTAGGGGTGAGAGTGGGGTACATTTGATCATGGGGTAGATTTGATCAGCTTTGAAATTCCCGCCATTTTTAAATTTTGGGAGGGAAATTCAGAGCCAACTTATTGGCTAACCTGTAGCAAAGCTTTGTCAACTACTGTCCTCCATCTTGGATGCTTTTGTTGGTTGGGAGTGGGTTGCTCCTAAGTTTTCAACCTTAAAATTGTGATTTTCAATTCATACTTGCAAGAATATCAAGGACCAACCTGTATCAAAACTATATTATAGCCTACTGCATTCCACAGGTAACTATACACTATTTGCTTTATTTTGGTATGATTAACCTTAAGATAACTTGTTCTTAGAACTGGCTTAACCTGTTTTAGTTTAGTCATACTCTGTGGGGGGGGGGCACATTTGATCACCAAGACTGGGGCACATTTGATCAGTCGATCAAATGTACCCCCAACTTATATTTTTACTACGATGTGAAAATAATTATGAGAAATGGCTGTTTGACCTAGTTTTTAAGGCTTTTATGAGTAAATCCCCTTAAAAGGCCATATTAGGCCACTATTGGCCTTAAGACCAGACCTACAGAATTAGACCTAGAAGGCTTACTTGTATAAACAAAATAAAATAGGTTGTTAAACCTAGTTTTCTTTTTTCTTTTTCTAGTTTACCTACTTTAGACTTTGAGAGTAAATACACACAGGGGGCACCATCATTAGGCACACTATTGGCCAAGGGCTATATACCTATAGAATTAGACCTAAACCATTCTCTCTTCTTGCAGAATTAAAATTAATATGAACATAAGGTTAATTTAATTTATCAACTTAATCAAGTTAATCTTAATATAGATAAACTAAACTTTTGCCACCTTTGGAATAGCCTATGTAAGTTATGTAGGCTAGATGTGACACTGGTTATCATTAGGCCTGCACCTACATGTATGCATCAAAGACCTTTTGATTTTAGACCAATTATTTAAGCTAGGACTAACACAATTTCGCTGTTACTTGCTTGTGTACTGTATATTTAAGCTGTGGTATGATTTAAATCACTACTAGGCTAGAACAGGTTGTGTTTGTTTCAGATTCAACATGGTCCGTAATTATGTTAAAAAAAAAACTCATCCAGAAGTCAATGAAAGGGAAGTAGAAGCCGCTCTCATTGATATAGTTCAAAATAAAATGCCAATACGGCAAGCTGCTTCCGTGCATGGCCTAAATTATGCCACTTTGTACTACAGGCTTCAAAAGCAAAAAGCCATTATACCTTCAGAACAGACACCTTCAGAAGTGAATGAAGTAGGCGAAGATTCAAGACCTGAAGTTCCGGTAAAGCCAGTTTCTAAATACCAGTCTAAGTACACAGCCAATCAAGTTTTTACTGAAGATGAAGAACAGTTGCTAAAAGATTACATCTTAAAATGTTCAAGTTTAAACTACGGATTAACATATAAATTGATTAGAAAAACATCATATGAATATGCTGCTCATTTAGGTGACTGTCCAAGAAAATGGGAAGAAAAACAAATGGCAGGAATTGACTGGTTAAGATCGTTTATGAAACGCCACAATAAACTTAGTCTTAGGGCCGGTTGCTGAGCTCCGGATCTATAAGTTCTGGACTTATTGAGTCCAGGACTCAAATAAGCTCTCGGATCTAAATCGTCTTGCTGAGTTGCAGATCTATCTCTGAAACTCCAGGATCTATAAGTCCTGGACCTATTTGAGTCCAGAACATAAAGCAATAAAAATTGAGGGAATCGTAGAGTATTTGGCGTTGTGATGTTGGCAGTGGGTGATAGCCGGCCGTGCCGTGCCGTCTGCTCCCCACCTCGTAAACTAGAGATTAGTATAATGTTAATGTTAACTGTTATTATAATCATTACTATCCTACATTATCATTCTTGTTTGGTTTAGGTGTATTTAAAAATATATGTATGATAAGGTCATGTTAAAAATTTTTGAGTTAAAAGTAAAAACAACTTGTTTGTTGTTTTTGAATTGCTTTTATATTTAACATTTTTAAATGGTTCATTATTTTGACATGCAGTATAGGCTAAAATGTATTTCAAAATCATTCATTTGTAATTTTGGTTGTGAATAAAGTAAGTTGAAATACATTTTTATAAAAAATAAAATAAAGATAAATAGTGTTGTACAAACTGCGTCAATAATTACTTAAACAAAGAGAACGAAAAATGACATTTTATGTTGTTATCTTCATATCCATTTTAGGAGTGTTGTGTCATCTTTATGCATGATTTTATACTTCATAAGTTGTTTTATATTTTATAGGTTTTTATAAGATGATTGTTTTCAATTAAAGTAATACCAATTTATAATTAACGACAGTCCTCTCTTCTGAAAAATGTGTACCAAAGGTCAATGACGTAAAATATCAAGATGAAGTTTGATATATTCGAACAATCTTACATACCCCCATATAATAAATCCCCCTGAATAATTTTTGAACGCTGCATATATCCAAACGAGCATCGATACACGTTACTAGGGAAATATAAAGTACTTTTTGGGTGTATTTTGAATTTCACCCCCACCGCCCAAGTAGGGGTTGCTGGGGATAAATTAAAATTTTTAAACGACAATCCTTATCAAGTAGCACATAGTTTTAAGGAGTTTTAATAAAGGAAATTAATTAATGCCACAAATTTGAATTTGACACGACAAATAAAAAAAAGTTATGGTAAGAAATGTTAGACGTTAATTTAACTTTACATTCCTTCACGTTTATTTTTTTATAAATAACCTTCAGTTCACGTGAGGGTGATGTCACGTTCATCACCCTACCCCAAATACGGGTTGCCGGTGGTGTTTTGATTTTTTAATACCAGCCCCTATTTGGTATTTCAAATTCAAATATATATTTAAAGTCAAGTTAAAAGGTGCATTACATTACCCTGGTCACGTGTACTGAAGAGTATTTGAAAATTCAAAGTCATGAAAAAAGATAATAAAAGTGATGGAATTAATTAACATCTAACACATTTCTTGCCACAACTTTTAAAAAATTTGTTGTATCAAAGTTGAATTTGCAGCATTAATTTCCTTTTTTAAAGTTCTTTTCTTTTCTTAAAGTTAAAACGGTGTGCTACTTGATACGGGTTGCCTTTAAGAAAACTTAAGTTACCCCTAGCAACCCCTATTTGGGGGTGGGGGGTGAATTTCAAAATACCACCAAAAGATACTTTTCATTGCCCTAGTAACGTGTATCGAAGCTCGTTTGAATATATGCAGCCGTTCAAAAATTAACCAGGGGAGTATTATAGGAACCCGGTATATACATTTTACATAATAGGTACGAAGCGCCATCGACATTGTTTAACACCCCAGGAAACATGCCTGCTTTCGTCCTATTCCCCTTCAGGAAATTTAAATTATGCCCTTCATATCTTGCATATTACCTTTGGTACCTTATGGATAACTCTACAAGCAGTAGACTCTGACACAATGGAGAAGATCTCCAGTTTCCCTGTAAAAAGTCACGTCAGGAAAAAAAATTTCGGAATGCTGTGTGGAGCTCTTTTATTATAAACCCTTATTCCTGGAGACAGTAAACGTAATATATTTTGAAAGATGAAATCATCCTGAAACTCTTCTTCAGGTAACACGAACAATGGGTTAAGTGCACGACCAAGATGTCTTGACTTGGTCTACGTTGTGGTGCTTTAAATACCCCCGCCGCAGCAAACCTGCCGTCTAAGCGAATTTCCATTTGGCTGAATTGATTTTCAATCGATCTATTTAAATAACATTAGGT